AAACAGGAATTCTCGCTGGCTCAGCCCCGTCCCTACCAAAAGCATTACGGTTTCGCTTCTTATAGTGGTTTGTATTCATTGCCTAGGCCCAGCTGTCCACTGTCATTACATCCCCATGCAAACAGCTGACCATCTGCAAACAAAGAGTGTCAGACTTGGCAAAGCTGTGACTGCTACCAGAGGGGATTAATGCTAGAGGTACTCCTCCCAGAGATTTGACTAGGGTGGGTTGTGATACTGACTCACACTTGTTGCCTAGGCCCAGCTGTCCACTGTCATTACATCCCCATGCAAACAGCTGACCATCTAGAAACAAAGAGTCTCATCTCCTAAGGGTCTTTAGGGAGGGGCGCCGAGGTCCGACTGTCACCGCTCACCGCAATCGTGGAAAAAGGTGACGAAGACCAGCTCGCCCCCATAATAATTTTCTACCATAGAGAAGGAATATTTCACCTTTTCCTAGATTTAACTGTACCAAGATTTGTGAACATCTATGAAACAGGAAAAACAAAACTAAACCAATAATCTATACCGTTAATTTTATTAACCATTAATGTAAGAAAGTGCATACTTTTTTTACCAGCAACCAAACTGTACTATTTTACTAAGAATTAAGTGAATGCACTGTTTTATGTCATAACTCAAACTCAACTCACTTTATTTACCTTTTTACAAACATAGAATAACAAATAAACATATGATAATAATTAATAGAAATTAACAGGTGTTATGAAATAAACTGTTCTCACAACATCCTCCCTTTTAAGTTTGAAAGTTCTTCAACCAGCTTGGTTTGTGTATATTTCTCTTTGGACGGTTGTATGGTTCTGTTTGATGTGTATTTGCTGACAAATTTTGTTCACCGTTTTTCTCTCTTAAATAAGGGGCAAGTTTGAGGTGGAATCGATTTCTTCTCACATTCCTCTTATCAGTTTCAACAATATATGAACGAGGGCTGTCCAGGATTTTCACAATTTTGCCATGTCTTCTAAGGTCCACAATCCAAACTGGGTCTCCTATATGAAGAGGATTGAGAGTTTGCACTTTGTGCCTTCTATCATAGTTGTGTTTGTACTTCTCACGATATGTTTCTTCTCTCCCTTTTAGATCCTTTAGATCTGGTTTTCCACTAAGCAAATGTCCTGTCTGAGGCAATGTGCTCCGTAATCGCCTGTTCATAAGAAGCTGAGAGGGACTGAACCCATTCCAGAGGGGTGTCGTTCGATAGGCTAGAAGCGCTAAATAAGGGTCTTCCACATTTTTCTTTAGAATCATTTTGGCGATTTTCACTGCCGCTTCAGCCTCTCCATTGCTTTGGGAAAATTTTGGGCTACTTGTTACATGCTTGAAGCCATAAACTTTGGAAAATGTCTTGAAATCTGAATGTTCAAGGACTTGAAATTGAGACCCACAGTCAGACCTAATTTCTTCTGGAATGCCGTGTCGACAGAAAAAGGCTTTGCATCTCATTATTACTTCTCGTGATGTTAATGACTCTAATTCAGCTATCTCAAAATATCTGGAGTAATAATCTGTCACAGTCAAAAACCAAACGCCTTCAAGTTTGAACAAATCCATCGCAAGTGTTTTCCATGGCCTGTCAGGGAACTGTGTGGGAAGCAATGGTTCATGACTGTTCCTTGAATGTTTAATACAAGTAGGGCATGATTTCACCATACTTTCAATGGCTGAAGAAATTCCTGGCCACCAGACTGACTCTTTTGCACGTAAACGACACTTAGTGATTCCAAAATGACCTTCATGTACTCTTTGAAGTGCCCAAGACTGCAGAGCTGGCGGAATTACAAGTCTTGAACCTCGTAGTATCATCTCATTATCAACACTTAGCTCATCCTTAACTGAATTATACGGTTTTAGGTCATCTCGTAATGATGTCTTAGAAGGCCAACCTTGGATGATTATTTTTTTCAGTTCACATAAAGTCGGATCTTTATTTTGTTCCTCCAATACTTTAGCAACTATGCAGTCGTTTATATCAATGGACGACAAAACCATTTGAACAAACGCTTGAGTTTCTTCTTCTAACTCACGGTCATCAGTACCTGAAAATGGGAGAGGTGCTCTTGAAAGAGCATCAGGAACTAGAAGCTGCTTTCCAGGAATATAAGTAATTGAAAAATCATATCTCATGAGACGCAATCGAATTCTTTGAATTCTTGGAGACAATTCATCAAGATGTTTGGATTTCAAAATTTGAAGTAGTGGTTTGTGATCTGTTTGTATTGTTATTCTCTTGCCAATAATAAATTCTTGAAACTTTTCACATGCCCAGGCAACAGCTGTAGCCTCCCTCTCGATGTTTGCATAGTTTTTTTTCAGAAGGAAGAAGGCTTCGGGATGCAAATGATACTGGTCGTATAGAACCATCATCTTGAACTTGAGAAAAAGTTGATCCTAGTCCTTGAAGCGAGGCATCACAGGAGATAATTGTTTCCCGATTTACATCGTAAATGGCTAGGCAAGGAGAGTTAGTCAAAATGAGTTTTATTTCATCAAATGCCTTCACCTGCTCTGGACCCCATATCCATGGAACGTTAGCTTGAAGTAGTGAATTCATTGGGGCCAAAATCTTAGCTTTGTCAGGAATAAACTTACCAAGAAAGTTTACCATCCCATTGAACCTTTGAAGTTCTTTTACGTTTTTTGGGCAGTCCATTTTGAGAATGGCGGAAACCTTTTCCTTATCAATAGAAATTCCATCGGATGAGAGGAAATGCCCGAGGAATTTAATACTTGACTTCCCAAACTCAGTTTTGTCTTTGTTAAGTGTCATTCCTACATTTTTAAGCTTTTTAAGTACTTGCCGAACAACTGTATCATGTTCTTCTTTCGTTTTGCCCCAAATCAGAATATCGTCCATATGGACTGCGACATTTGACTGGTTGTCTAAGATTTTGTTCATGCATTTCTGAAAATGTTCAGGTGCTGATGTGATTCCAAATGGAAGTTTGAGAAATTTAAAACGTCCAAAAGGGGTAAGGAAAGTAGTTAGATCCTGGGAATTTACATTTAAGGGGACTTGCCAAAAACCACTGTTTGCATCAAGTTTTGAAAACCATTTTGCTCCTGAGATTGAGCTGAGAGACGTTTCAATTTTGGGAATCGGATGATAAGACCGCTGGATGGATTCATTCAACTTTGTTAAGTCAACACATATGCGGACATCTCCATTAGATTTAGGCACTACTACCATTGCTGAGCACCATTCAGTAGCATGCTCAACTGGTGTGATTACATTATTTTGTACCATACTTTCTAGTTCTTTTTTCACTTGACACATTAGGGGTAAAGGTACTGTCCTAGGAGTGGTTATTGCATATGGCTTTGCGCCATCCTTAAGTGCTATTGTGTAGGGATCAGGAATGACGCCTAGACCACTAAACATTTCATGGTATTCGGTAAAAAAGTCACTGTCTACCTCTGCAACTGAATTAACAAAAGTTAAAATTTTCAAGTCCTGTATTGCTGGACGACCAAGCAAGGGTGTTATGAGTCCCTTCACTACGTATACCATGTGATTTATTTTAACATCTCTGTATTGGATATTAGCTTTAACACAACCTACAGTTTCTAATTTTGTTCTACCAGCCCCAAACAACTCAACTAGAGTCGGCTGGATCCTACTTGGATCAACTATGCCAGGGGGAATTACTGCTACATCTGCCCCTGAATCAATTTTAAATGTTTGTGGTTTTCCCTCAAATACTAATTCTAGTTTCCAGGGCTTACATTTTGACCCATCCCCAAGTGTACCTATGAATACTTTATTATTTGAAGGTCCAAGTTCACTTACTTCATTTTCGTCAGTTACTTCCTGTGCTTTAGATCTGCATACCTTCGAAAAGTGACCAATCTTTTTGCATAAGTTACATGTTGCGCTTTTTGCTGGACACGTGCTTCTTGGATGGGACGGTTTATAACCACACCAGATACATTGCGCTGGGTATTCTTGTTTCTTTTGACGAAACCTATATCCTTGATTTTGGTTTGAACTCGATGACGTAGTTGCTTCAATTTGAACTCTTTTCTCATCACATAAATCTGCCTTCTCTTTCTTTACGTTATCTGCATGTCTTATTACTGTAATGGCCTTCGCCTTCATCTCTAAATTCATCTCGGGATCTAGCAACAAGCGATCACTAAGTTCCTCATCATTTAAACCCAGTATTAGCACCATCAACACCATTTCATCATTAAGTGAACCCCAGTCACAGGTTCTAGCCAAGGAAAGGAGACTAACTATAAACTCTTCAACTGTTTCATTAATTTTTTGTTGTCTCTTCAAAAACTTTGCTCTTTCAAAAATTAAGTTCCTCCGTGGAATAAAATGTTTGTCAAATAAATCTAAGACTTCTTCAAATGTTAGCGTTGATTCCGTTGCTAAATTAAAAGATGCAAAAATCTCATCAGCTTTCTCACCTAATGTGTATATAAGAGTGTTGATTTGTTTGTTCTCAGACTCTTCAGATAGCCCAGATGCTGACCGATATCTTTGAAATCGTGTTTTCCATCTTGGCCAATCTGCTGGTACAAAGGAGAAACTAGCTGGAGGTTGAATAACTGAATGAGTGTTTGATACAATGATTGACTTCTTAGTTGAATTGTTGTATTCATTTTCTCTGCTTCTTTCATTTTCATTATCTTCATAGTCAGATTGTTTCCTTCTTGGATTTCTCTTCTGAGGCATAGCTCTAAACCGCTGCCACCATGTACTATTTTACTAAGAATTAAGTGAATGCACTGTTTTATGTCATAACTCAAACTCAACTCACTTTATTTACCTTTTTTACAAACATAGAATAACAAATAAACATATGATAATAATTAATAGAAATTAACAGGTGTTATGAAATAAACTGTTCTCACAACACAAACGAAACATTATTTAGCAGTTAACACCTGAATGGATGTGTGTATTTTAATTTAATCTTTTTATATCTTAAATAAATCAAATCAGAGGCAACAGGCAACATACTTACTGTTGGTGAGGGCCATACAATGTCTGTAGCCACATGAAACTTGAACAACAAAACTTGTGGCTAGCGATCGGATGATCTTTGGTCTTCTGAACTCGTCTAGGTCACCATGACCTGAAATGTAGATATTTATACTCAGCCGTCAGGATATGGTTAGATACTTTTTATTAATAATTTTGTATATTTGTAAAAAATACAACTCACAATATAGGCTATTACATGTATGGCTGTTTTAAAATTGCCTCACTCTTGTTCCAACATTTCAGGACGGACCCTTGTCTCAACTAAAGAAAAGTGAAATACAAAAATGAATGGATTTGATACATGTCAAAACTACATATTGTGTTTTATTCATTTTGTAGCCTCCAGAATTATGAATTATAAAATAAAGGTTACGTAGGCCTACGTCAGTCCATGCAATTTTTCTACAAATACATAATAAACTATGTATATATTTCAGGTTTACTAACCCCAAGATCAGGTTTCTTTGCAGATTCGTCAGTTTATAACATACAACACATATAGTTAAACATTTATTTGAGCTTTTAAAATCTTTGGGTTATGGAGCCGGCTGGTGATAGACTCCAACTCTATTGGAGGACAATTCTATTGCCTACAATTTTTAAGTTTATATAACTTTAGATAATTTTTAAATGTATGTGTTGGTACGGTGTTTCCAAATTTATGAATCTGTGAAGAGAATGCTTCATGTTTTTGAAGACTTGATGATGGGTTAATAAACATGAAATGTACATAGTCGGCATACTTGTAGAATTGCAGAAGAATTGCATGGACTGGTACATAACCTTGATTTATTTTACATGTCAAGTGTGAAAAATTAATAAACTAGGCCTCCAATAAACATTAAGGCAATACCGCAATAACATCAGTATGTACTAAACAACGCTAGACAAACAGGTTGTAACTTGTTCGTTTACAAAGCACCATGTCTCAACCATCTGAAGTTTGATCCAGAGTTAAATGCACTTAATCATTTATGATGAGTTTACAGATGACTCACCCAGCTGGCCATATTTGGAACAGCCCCAGCTGAACACTTGGCCCCACTCATTGACTGCTAAGGTGTGAAACTCTCCACAAGCTACAGTATGTACCTTGTAAGCATCAAGTCCATCTACTTTCTCTGTAACATAGCGAGACAGATCACTGTCAAAACAATTACAAGACCAATTGAGCGGAACAGTAATCCTGGTGAATAATGCCATTGAAGAAACAAAACTTAAATACTGTTAACAGTATACTGTATTAGTTTTATCTAGAGATGGTCGGATCCGGATATCGGACTACCAGATCCGAGCTAGAACCGGCACCCGATCGGATCCAAAAAATTCCGGATCTTGGGCTAGATCCGGTTTTGATGGATCCGATTTTTCCCGATTTTTTACTAAAAAAAGCTGTCTGTATCCATGTACAAGACCGGTTTTTTGCCGATTTTTTTACTAACACAAAGCTGTCTGTATCAATATACAAGACCGATTTTGTCCCGATTTTTTTAGGTGGTTCGCGTGAAGTTTGGTGCAGATCTATCCAAATGGCTCTACCCCAGTGGCTCTGGAGTTTCCCATGTTAACCTTATGAGTAATCATATTTAAATGGAATTAAAGAAGCTTAACAGTTGTTTCAACTTAATAATTTGGTTCTGTGATGTTCAATAGCATTAAAAAATTACAAGGTTTACCAACAGGGTGAGCAGCACTATTAATCAAATTTATGACAACAGCTAATTTGAACCAAGCAGCAACAAAAAGCTGTGATACGAAATGAGAACTGTCAAAGTAGAATTTTTATAGTTATTTGTTTTTAATTTAATAAATCATTGTTGATACTGTGCGAATAAAACGTTTTCTTTTTTAAGGGCAAAATTTGTTAACTTAAAAACTCTTTTTTCGTATTTGTTTATAAAAATCTATTGTTTTTAGAAATAATGTTTGGAAAACAAAGTAGACAGTTAATACTTTAGGGGAATTACTATACTAAAAGTTTATCTACATATAGCAGATCTACGGAACATAATAATAGCTACTTCCCTATAGAAAAATTTGCTAAAAACAATAATTAACAGAAAGCCTTAACGCTTTTAGGTGAACAATAGAACAAGATTAAAATATAATTTGCTTCCTTTTCTGGATAAAAATATTAGCCCCATAAACTCATCAGTATAATTTTAAAATTTAGTAGGCTACAAGTCTAACACCAATTATCCAATTAATTGGGACTGTATTACATATAATCAAAACATCAGTTGGTTTGTTTACCCAAATTAGGGGTAGCCCTATTTTATGGACAATGGAGCCGAGCTTTTACTATCACAATCACAACGATTTTGCGATAGAAAAATTCACACTTTCCTCTCGATTGTAGATTACCACGATGATTTTGTATGACAGTAAGAGACAATGGTTATGTCCACACGACCGCTGGAGAAGTTGATATCTACACAAATGCAGGAGATGATCAGGATTTCAGTGTGATCATGGCTTTTGGTTTTTTTTTAATAATGGCTCTTATAACTGTTGTTCTAGGTTTTTAAAATTCTCTCTATAAGTGATTCAGATTATTGACGATTCATATAGTTGGAGTTTGAATAATTGGAGTTCATTTCATACAGTTTAAATTCATTCATCAACACTCACCTAAACGTTTTTGCTGCTTATCGTGCCCGAGTTGACCAAAGTCATTACTGCCGCAAGAAAACACAGATCCAGAGTTGGTGACCAGAACAGTGTGATACTTTCCACAGGCAACTAAATGAAAATACAAGAAATTATGTAGACCAACAAAATATAGTGTAAGTTTATCTAATAATGTAAATACAGTTAACTATATAACCTTAATCTACAGGAAAAATGATTGCTACAACAGTAGCCTATATTTAAAAATATATATATTTTATTACTATATTCAATAATAAAATAGCCTAGCAATATTTTTTTGATCTCGTAAAATAAAAATCATGAATTCACTATGCTTTCCCTCCATAACATGAAATATGGTTCCCCATTGCTTATGGGGAAATAGCGCTGATGCAAAAAGAGTATTCATATGGCAAAAGAAAGTCATTCGTTGCATAGTATGCTTAGAAAACAATCAAGAACATTGTACAGATAGTTTTATTTGTCTTAAAATAATGACGTTACCATGTATGTATATTTTTTGTAATCTGGTTTATGTTAAGGAAAATATAGTTAATTTTAGTGAACAATGTAATCAACATGAACACAGCACGAGAAACAAACATAATCTTGTAACACCTTACATTCGCCTTCACAAATCATTTAGAAGTCACAGTTACCAGCAATTTTTGTTATTTAACAAGTTACCATTAGTTGTAAGAAATCTACCTCTTGTAAAATTCAAAGAAACTATCTCAAACTGGCTAAAACAAAAAGCATTTTATAGCATTGAAGAATACCTTAAATGTACATTTCAGACTTAGACTAGAAACTTAAGATTTTTTGTACTAAAACTATTTGACGAAGCCTATTGTACGCTAATGTATTCCTGTACATTGTATTTAATGGCCAATAAACTTCTTGATTCTTGATTCTTGAAATAACACTCTAGAATTATTCTCAAAGTGGAAGTGTTTAGGGAAAATCTAATGTATTGCGACGAAATTTTCTGCACTGTGAAAAAAAATATTAAAAGTGCAGTGCAGTGTAGGAAAATAACTCGTTACAGTATAACTGCGATGAAAAACTAATGTAAACGGTATAACAAGCAACTGTATTTCTGATTAATATTTTACAAGACATGAAACAAAAATTGGACTAACAAAAAACAGACAGCTGATAGTAAAAAAACATTTATATCATCTGTAGTATGACTATTACAAATAACAATACCCCCGCCGCAGCAAACCTGCAGACTAAGCGAATTTCCATTTGCCTGATTGGATTTACACTAAAAATGAATGAATGAATATTTGAATGAATATATAGTTTATTCCAAAAAAACATTGGCTACAAACAGTGATTATAAAATCAAATATACTTAACAGAGACTAATGACACTAAAAATAGTAAAATACATACAAGTTTTAATGAGCCAAAATATTCAACAATAAACAAATGGAACTAGCAGACATAGGCAGTGCTACCTGTGCGTCTGCTAAGTTGCTGTCAAATAGAAAAAAGTAAATTATTGAATTTGTGGAATGGCAATTAAAAATAAAAGGGTTGTTATTATTAATGATGTATGTAAACGTATTTTCATGAACACAGCGCTGGTGAGTCTGCGCATTAGATTTTGTGGTGGCCAGGAGAGAGAGAGAGAGAGAGACAGACTGTGTGTGTGTGTGTGTTTGTGTGAGTTCCGTGTGTAATGGTGGTAGTGAGGAGAGTGGAGAGTGGAGAGTGATGAGTGGATTGTTGAGTATGAGTGGTGTAGAGAGTAATAATTCGACTGCGGACAGTCCTAACAAAGTGCCAAGGTCAGTCAGTGCAAAGGTCGGATCAGGTGCGCCGGTAGTCCGCCGTGATAATAGAATCGGCCTCGTCAATATTTAAACTGAATAGGAAATCATTGACGCGGAATTTAAATACCTTTAAAGAGTCACATTCAAAAAATTTGAAATCCTTAAAAATGTTACATATGTTACGATAGACTAAGTGTGAAACATAGTATGAATTAGTCGTAGAAAAAGTATAATTCACTTGAATTGTGGTGATTCCAACTCTAGAAGAATATCTTGTATTATATAAATGTGAAATATTTTGAAAAATGTTATTGTAATTTTTATAGATGTTTATTAATATTGATTTTACATACAACTGGCGAATAGAGAGGACTCCTATTTCTTTGAATAAAGCGTCAGTCGGGTAACGTTTGCATTTCCCAAATCCTATTTTTAAAATTGATTTTTGAGCAATATTTAATGGCTCCAAGGTACTCCTATAACAGCCACCCCAAGCTATAATACCAAACGAAAGTAATGATTGAACAAAAGCAAAGTAAGCCATTTTTAATTCCTTAACCGTCAAAACTTCTCTCATGTGTTTGAAAGCAAAAATTAATTTCCTAATTTTATTTCTAACATAATTAACATGATCTATCCATTTTAATCGTTCATCAAACAATACACCTAGGTATTTATAAGAGTTGACCTTTTCTATACTTTCACATCTGCAAGAATTACTTTGATAATTGTCACATTCGTGGATTGTTAAATTGGCTAAATTGAAGTCTGTACTCTTGCTAATAGAAATAGGCATGAATTTTGTCTTTAGAAACATTTAATGAAAGAACATTTTGATTTAACCACTTCTTAATTATCATGAGATCGTGTGTGGCTTTGTCATACACCTCGGGCCAGGTTTTTCCTTGCAGGAAAATTAGGCTGTCATCGGCAAATAAAAAGATTTGACCAAAAATGTTTAGTCTGGAAATATTATTTATATAAATTAAGAATAAAACTGGACCAAGGTTGCTGCCTTGGACCACACCATAGTCTACTGGCAATACATTACTAGTAATGTCATTAATGGAAACAAGTTGTGATCTGTTACAAAGGTAGCTTTGGAACCATGCAAGTGAGTTGCCGTGAATACCAATGTCTTCCATTTTTCTCAATAATTTTGTCTAATACTAATGTCTAACTTGTCTAATAATAATGTCTAATTAAAAATATAACATTTATTTCCTATTTAAATAGAATTAGTTTAACAAGTAGGCCTAGGTACTTAGGTTTGCTGCATCAGGGAGGGTAAAACTGTTTTTTTTTTTGTAAAATTTTAATAGTTAGTAAGAAATAAAAGCATTTTCCAAATTTGATCAAAATATGTCCACAAACAAGCAAACTACAACAGTTTACTTGATCTCCATAAGAATAACACTGTAATTTTAAATATACATTTTTTTAATTTTCTCCGTAACCATTAGGCGCATAATAACGCTTCAATATAAAAAACTTTTTGTTTTTTAAGCTCTACGAAATAGTTTGGAAAGAAATTGCTAAATTTTATGTTTTTTTGGGTCAAAAATGGGAAAAACCTATTTTTACATCATAAAACCCCCCCGTAAACCCCTCGTTCCCATAGTCCAATCATGCTGGTTCGCGAACTCGTTCGAATAAATGTAGGTTTACACGTGTGGCGTCAACTTAGCCACAGCTGTGTTGCCTTTGGTCTATGCTTTGTTTTCATATTTGTTGTGTAACAGCTGTTGCTTGTTTTTGTAAAAAATGTTCAGTTTTGATTATGTTATGATTCAACACACAACTTAATTCATTTGTAAATAAATCATTATTAAATACTCGTTCATATAGTGGTGAATTTAATTCATACAGATTATCCACACTATATATTGGTGACCCCGAATAACGACAACAAGAAGCACGACATTCCTACATCAATATTACCAATGTCGCTAGAAGAAATCGAAGCTCAATTGGCAAATCTACGGGAGCAACAAAATGAACTTTCCACCAACGTTCAGCAACGCAACGACCCTGGTAATGTATCAGTAAATGGAGTTGCAGTAAAGCTTCCACCATTCTGGGCCGATCGACCTAGTCTATGGTTTGCTCAGGTAGATTCCCAGTTCACCATCTCAGGCATCACAAGCGATGACACTCGGTTCCACTACGTCGTTTCTCAGCTTGAAACACGTTACGCAGTGGAAGTAGAGGACATAATCACTAATCCGCCTGCAACAAATCGTTACGCGGTACTTCGTTCGAAGCTAATTGAAAGGCTCTCTAATAGTGAAGAAGAATGAGTTCGCCAGTTGATAAGCGACAAAGATATCCGAGATCGCAAGCCATCGCAGTTCTTACGCCACCTACGTTCTCTGCTCGGTCCAGCCCAACTACAGGACAGCATCCTTCGAGCACTCTGGCTACGTTGTCTCCCTGTTAACATTCAAGCGATTCTCACTGCTCAAAATGAACTTCCACTCGATAAACTTGCAGATATAGCCGATAAAATCATTGAAGTTTCTACAAGAACACCACAAGTATCGGTAAATGCTACTACATCTCGTGAACACACAAGGTCTAATGACGACCTCGCTGCTGTTATTACGAGACTGACACAAAGGATTGACGCACTCGAAGTATCCCTCCGGCGCGATCGTTCGACCAATCATGACAAGAAAACATCAAAGAACCCGAATCAAGATCAGAACAAATCTACAAGCCAGATTTGCTGGTATCATGCCAAATTTGGTGAACAAGCTTCAAAATGTACTTCTCCTTGCTCTAACGTGGGAAACTCCAAAGACGGCCAGTAACAGCGGCGGCTGACTGTCAAGCACCCAGCCGCAGATTTTTTTTTTTCGGATCAAAAGTCAGGACTCTGGTTCTTGATCGACACCGGCTCTGACGTATCATGTTATCCAAAAGGTCTTCTACGAGACCGTCGCACATCTACAGACTTTGAACTTAGTGCCGCCAACGGTAGTACAATCAAGACTTACGGAACCTGTTCTATGACATTGGACCTAGGCCTTCGCCGTAGTTTTGCATGGCAGTTCACAGTTGCAGATGTCAGTGTTCCAATCATTGGCTCGGACTTCCTCAGTTACTACCATTTGCTTCCAGACTGTCGTTTGTTGCGACTTCACGATGCCAAAACTGGACTTATTACAGGAGGACAACTTTCCGTTACGACTCAAAGTAGCGTAAAATCCGTAGTCACTACTTCTCCCCTCTCTAAAATCTTACATGAATTCCCTGAAATTACTTGCCCTCCAGGATTGCCTCGAGAAGTGAAGCACCAGACAGTACATCACATACACACGACTC